TACGAAAACCTCTGTAACATTTTTTTCCGAAGTGACCCCCAAGAAAGATACAGCCCCTCAAAGGGGGGCATCGGAGAATGATTTTGTATTATTATCTCCAACACCTTGTATAATGAAAATCTGAAATTTTGTCCATCCTCTTACTATTCAGTGCCGGTTCGAATGGGGTTAAAATCACCTCAAAATAAAATACAGGGGTGTCTCAAAATAGGGAGGTAGGGGGTAAAAATAACCCCAACTTTTTTGTTCATCGCAATTCCAGTTTTTTGACATGAAATTATGAAATCTCAGGGCTATTTACATAGGAAAGGTGCTCTTGTTGCATCTCGATAAAATTAACTATTAGCGAATAAAATTTGAAAAAAGCTTGTTTTTAACAATATTTTTCAATTTAGTATTTTCAATAGGATCAGACCATAATCACGAAACTCGTCGTCTATTGTTAATTCATGAATTCCGACAAGGAATTCAAAATTTCCAAACCCCAAATACCCTTACAAACCAATTTTGAATCGAATCGAACCATAATCACAAATCTGGTCAGCCACATTGGAGCCGCCCTATTTTTTTCTATCAAAAAGTCCATAACGCGTTGTCAACTGTCATCTGCCAGATTCCAAGTTGATCAGACGATTAGAAGTAGGTGAAAATTCAGTTGCAAGATTTGAACTAGATAATTAAACTCAAGTGCATACCAAAATTTCAATTTAAATGAAATCTTGGAAAAATAAATTTTATTCGCTAATGGTTCAGTTTATCGAGATCCAACAAGAGCTCCTTTTCTATGTTGATAGCTCTGAGATTTCATAATTTCATGTAAAAAAACTGAAATTGCGATGAACAAAAAAGTTTGGGTTATTTTTACCCCCTACCTCCCTGTTTTGACACACCCCTGTATTTAATTTTGAGGTGATTTTAACTCCATTCGAACCGGCACTGAATAGTTAGTGGATAAACAAAATCTTAGATTTTCATCATACAAGGTGTTGGCGTTAATAGTACAAAATCATTCTCCGAGGCCCCCCTTTGAGGGGCTGTATCTTTCTTGGGGGGCACTTCAGAAAAAAATATTACCGAGGTTTTCGTAATTATTTCATTCACTCTATATACTCCCAAAGTTTGACCACCTATTTTGGAATCACCTTGTATAGGTAGGTGGATGTAGAAGATTAGCAATCAAAATCATTTAAGGTGTGTCTTATCAAGCATGATGACTTGTAAGAGAACTGATATTTCGCGTATCTTTTGTTTTGCAATGATGAAACAATTATTTTGATACCTACTATCATTGATCATTTTCATGCCTTATCGATATTATTTGATAAATCTAATCTTCTTCGCAATCGATAGATGCAAATCACTAATCACTATGAAATGATGATGAGTTCCGGGAAAGTTCCTATCCAGTCAATTAAAACATCTTGATAATAAAACTAAAATTCCCAAACATTCATCATGATGGAAGCCAGAATATCAAATCTTCAATTGGAGAACTTGTTGCAAGGAAATAATAACAATTGAAATATGAGAGCGGTATTAGTTTCTTCAAGATTTTCATTTGATATAGCTTTCTGTTGTGCCTACTAAACTCATTTTTCAAATTTTTATGTTCAGAAATCATTCTCTCAAATATATGATTAAAGCAAGTCCAATTATTATACAGGATGAGTTAATAGTGTATTCTCCTTCTATATAAGCCAAACCGTCAGATATATAGAAACAAATCGAATACAACAGTTATAGGGTGGGAACTATCACCTAAAATTATTTTCATATCTATAGGGTGTTCGAATTCTAAGATATTGGTTGTTGATGGGTGTTTTCAAATAAGACACCCTGTATATTATTTCATTTTTATATTCTCCCTTAAGTGCTGATTTCATCAATGTATCGCACTAGCTGAAATGTTTATAGAGATATAGGGTGTTCAAAATCTATATGTTGCAACTTTTTGTGTTTTTTTGTGTTAAAACTATTTATCATTGGTCGAAACGGCTAACATGTCCCTATCTCGACTTTTGATTCACAATCTACTGACACTTAATTGGAACAAATACAGGGTGGTTCGAAATTCAAGATTTCTGATCACCCTGTATCTATTTCGATTGAATTTCAGTAGATAGTGAATCAAACGTTAAGATAGGAACATGTGAGCCGTTTCGACCAATAATCAATAGTTCTGACACAAAAGAATCCCATCAAATTTGAAAATTATTATGAACACCCTATATCTCTGTAATCATTTCCGCTAGAATCCAAGTATGACAATGATGAAATCAGCTCTCCAGGAAAAATTTGGAGATGCAATAATATACAGAGTGTCCCATTTGAAAACACCCATCATCAGCCAATATCTTGGATTTCGAACATCCTATAGATATGAAAATAATTTTGAGTGATAGCTCTCATAAAATCCTAAAAAAATATAAAAATGTAATAATATACAGGGTGTCTTATTCGAAAACACCCATCATCAACCGTTATCTTAGAATTCGAACATCCTATAGATATGAAAATAATTTTAGGTGATAGTTCCCACCCTATAACTGTTGTATTCGAATATTTTTTATATACCTGATGGTTTGGCTGATATTCAAGGAAAACACACTAATGACTCACCCTGTATATAGAATTTAAATATAACAGTATGGGTTAGTAAATATTTCCTTGGTGGTGAGCTATCAATAACGAACACTATACGAAGTCAAAGTAAGTTGTTACTAAATTTAACATTGGAAATATCCGTATTATTTCAATAAACTCGTAGGAAGTGAAGAAAATCAGATAAATTTGACTAAAAATGTCACTATCAGAAACTTGAAAGAAGAATGCAATCGAAAGTCAGTGACACCTTGCTCGAAAAATGTTTTAATAAGAAGAATATAGGTTCATTGAAAAACATGAAATTGCATGCACACGGGAAAATAACTTCGATAACATCTAGTAAAATTTGCATACTAAGTATATTAAATTGTCACTGCTAAAAATAAGGTTATGACAAACTAGATAATTTTCAGTAGTACTCATATTATGAGAAAAAAAAATCTCAGATCGTCCTAGGAATACGAAAGAACAGGAGTGGGGTGTATCAAATTCTAACAAACAAACAACCTGTATATAGAAGATCTTCAAATAGCCCCATCTGAATTTCAAAACATTCTGATGATCATTCCAACAGTTATAATGACTACCTAACTGAGGCTAAGATAATACATTGTGGAAACCTATGATGGAATATAATCCTTATTTCCATATTAGCAATATATCTTGAAAAATCCTAGGACTATAGGTCGATTTCAATTTTTGAAAATATATTTTTTCACATGACATTTCTTAAGCGCCTATCAACCTCCTGCGCCACAGATCGACTTCTTCAAAATTTTCAAACTGTACAATAGGTCAAGTTACACTTCGTACAACGGAATATTTTTCTTCCGAATTAAAAAAAAAATACCGTTGTAGAGAGATTTTTTTTATCGCTTTTGGTGCGCACGAAAGAGAAGAACATTGTTCGTACTTAGGGAGGATAGAGAGGGGAGGTAGGTGTCGTTTTTTTTTCAACTTTTGAAGGTTATAAGTTCTTGGAAATACTTCCTCAGGCAATGAATTCCAGAACTTTTCTATTCTATAGAGAAACGAGTTTTGATATAGTGCTGATCGACATATTTAGAGGTTGATAACGAAAGGATATGTTTCAATGATGTCAAAGTGTGAGTGATATCACCCACCAGGCGAATGGCTCTTCTCTGGATGGAATCTAAGAGCATCAGAGTATGTTTGGGTGCTGAGTTCCTATGTGAGAACAGTATTCTAGAACAGGTCGTATCTGTGCATGCTTTGTGAATCATGATGTTTCATGAGAAGCTGTTGAGGAGTGAAGTAGCTTTTCGCACGGAATAAAAGTCCGAGTTTTTCTGATTCAGCTTTGATGATGGATCTGACGGGATTATCCCATGAAAGAGTAATGCTGATGGAGACACCGAGCATAGATATAGTTGACTTGGTAGGAATGTTGGTATCAGACATTGTTATATTAGGCATACTGAGTTCCGCCTTCCTATGGAAAATACAGGCTTGAGTTTTAACGGCGTTGAATTCAACTAGGTTGTTGGTTCCCCAGCTGTGATGTTCTCAGTTTCCTGGGAAGAAATGGGAATTCTGAAAGAGAACGCAGTATGGAGAGTACTATCATCTGCAAAACTGTGAATAGGGCGAGTGGTTACTCCCAAGAGGTCATTGATATATTTTATTTAAGTTCTGGTTGCCACGAAAACAGATATCCTGTAATGTTCAGGGAACATCATGAGAACCAAGGGAATAATGATGGTACCAAAATTGATCCTTGTGGAATGCCGGAATGGATGGAAATGGTATCAGACTTTGAAAAAAACTCGATAAGAGATGGTATAGCTGAGGTGGAAAGCCGTATGATTGTAGTTTGTGAAGGAGTCCTTGGTGCCAAACACGGTCGAATGCTTTCGATATATATGTCTAACGCCACAGCTAGAGATTCCCCATGTTTTTCTTATGAAGCGTTCCATAAATGGGTGACGTAGGCGAGTGGATCTCCAGTTGATCTTTGGTGGAGAAAGCCGTATTGTCTATCATTGTTGATCCCTGAGCTTTCCAGATACTTGATAAGCTCATTGTTGATGGCTTTCTCCATCACTGTGGAGATTACTGATAACAGATCAATAGGCCTGTAGTTGTTGGGCAGGTTTTTGTTTTCTCTTTTGGGAATTGGTTGGACTCTATAGATATCTTCCAGCATGATGGAAATATACCCGCTTTGTACGAGATGGTAAATAACTTGCAGAGAATCGGCGAATTTGAAATAGTTACCCATCTAAATAGGTGTAAAACTTGACCCCTTGTACAATTTGAAAATTTTGTAGAGATTGATTTTCAAAAATTAAAATCGACCTATCCAAGGATGTCTTGCACATTGTATATGAGTAACCCACGCATGTACATAAAGATATTTTTGTTTTCAGAATAAAATGGTGGACAATGGCGGAGCATCCAAAACTCTGCCTCAATATATTGCTGCTCTATCAGGTAAGTTATTGGACCATTAATGAATGAGGAGTATTTATACTGTTCATGTTTTATGACATATGATGAAAGAATTCCAGGTATATCATCAAAAAGTCATAGGACGGATATGTATGAGAGCTTGAACTGCTTGAAGTATTTTTTCACTTGTACTCCAAAGTCCCGTCAAATTTTTCAGTTGTTTCCATCAATATTCATAGTGATCGCGTGCACAAAATATAGTTTTGGAAGCAGATTAATTGATTCATCGACATTTTAATTGACAGCAAGTTCCATGGTGAATTGAATAGATTGAGATTGAGAAATTCTCCAAGTTGATTCATATAGTTATTCAATATTGTAAAATAGAATCAATCGATATTCAATATTCAAACATTGAGCCAATGAAGAGCCACTTTCCCATTCATAGTGTGTTTGGAGGCGAGTCGTGATACCGATCGAGATACAATACGGATTTTCGAATCAATATTCAAAATTCTTGAGTAACAATTCGGAATTTTGAGTAACAAGTTAGAATTCAGAGTTTGAATTCGCAATTCCGAATAACAAGACGGAATTCCATGTTACCATTCATAATTCCGAGTTACAATTCGGAATTCCGTCTTACAGCTCGGAATACAAAGATGAAAAAAAGTTGAATTTTCACCTTTTCGTTACTCACTACCCAAAACAATATTTCTGTAATAATCTGCTATTGAAAGTTACAAAAAATTTCCATGCAAGCTTTTCTTCTGGATACAATATTCCAAAAACTTTCGATTCAAGCTCAGCTGGAGGTTATGTATTTTCTCAATCAAACTGAACAAGGAATTCGAAAAATTGAAAATAATTTGAAGCTCATGAGTGGCATAGAAATATGGGAAAAAAAGTTAACACAACCGCTTGTAGTGCAACACTGAATGAATTACCTGAAATAATTTTCTGGTCAAAAAGTGACCTATTTGGAAATGAAACCATATACCAAAATTGAATGCAAAAAACTCAACCGTTCTTGAACAAAAAAACAATTTTTATTCCTCAACTCTAAAACCCTGTATCATATTTATGTACATACAGTCGTATTCAATAAAAAGGCGTACAAGTATTAAACATAGAAGATTTCGGCATTCTACACCTTTTCCAATAGTAATTCAGAAAGCGTCATATGCAATTCAGACAATATCATTTGTAATTCAGATTAGTCAATTGAAATTCAGAAAATATCAAATGTTATTCAGAATTGTCAATTGATATTAAGAATGCGTCATTTGTAATTCAGAATAATCAACTGAAATTCAGAAAGCGACAGTTAGAATTCAGAAAACGTCAATTGAAATTCAGAAAGCGTCATTTATAATTCAGAATGTATCATTTGTAATTCAGAATGGGTCAATTGTAATTCAGACTATGTCATTTGTAATTCAGAATAGTTGATTGAAATTCGGAAAGCATCATTTGTAATTCAGATTAGTCAATTGAATTTTAGAAAATATCAATTTTAATTCAGATTAGTCAATTGAAATTCAGAAAATATCAATTGTAATTCAGAAATATGGAACAGTGTTACCTTTGCATGCATACCTACCTACAAACCATCATTATCACAACCTACCTACCTAATGTGTATATCCTATTGTCCTGGGAACGAATATTCTAACTTAAAATAATTATACACCATCGCATAGAATGAACTCCAAAGACAACTGTATGATTTGTTGGAGGAGACTTTGTCGAGCAGCACAGCATACCACGATTCAACATGCTGCTGCTTTGACTTTAGAAAATATGCCCGTAGGTCGCTGAAAGATGGATATTTTCATTTTTACCTGCTATGTCTCAATTCCATTCCAATATTGTTCATTTTCATACACATACATTTTCACTCGCATCTATGTAGTTATTGAATTATGAATGAGTTTAATAAAAACAAACGTGTGTTGTTGTATATCCCATATAATATAATTACTTATTACATTTCGCGGTGAACAATAACTACTGTCTGAATTCCAATTAACTAATCTGAATTACAATTGACGATATATGAATTTCTATTGATGCTTTCATTTGACAAATCTGAATTACAATTGGAGTTTTCTGAATTTCACTTGACTAATCTGAATTTCAATTGATTTTTTCTGAAATTCAAGTGACTTATCTGAATTACAAATTACGTAGTCTGAATTACAATTGACGCATTCTGAATTACAAATGACGATATCTGAATTTCAATTGATGCATTCTGGATTTCAATTGAAAAATCTGAATTACAACTGATATTTTCTAAATTTCAGTTGACGAATCTGAATTACAATTGATATTTTCTGAATTTCAATTGACTAATCCGAATTACATCTGACGTTTTCTGAATTCCATTTGAGAAATCTGAATTACAATTGACGCTTTCTGAAATACATCTGGAAAAGGTGAAGTTCTCGTTGTGTGAAATTGACTCTGCCAATACTTTGTGTTTTTAAAAACCTATGATTACTCTACTGTCAACATTTGGTGAACATTCATTCCCGATAGCCCGTTTTACGCAAATAGGATGACGTTATTTTCTCCCTCCAAAATACTTGTACGCTTATTTTTTGAATACGACTGTACATGCCTTAGTCATTATAAAATCTCGAGGGGTATCATCACCTGTCAAGCGAAGTCGTCGGATTTCGAAACAACCAGTATATATTGAGTAGTTATTATCCTCCACGACAGGTCTACATGAGAAAGTAGTATAGAACAGAATTTCATAATGAAATATCTATGTAGTTTGAATCCTCTCATGAAGATGCTAACGTAGCTGGTGAAACATGTGTTGAGGTGTTAATTTTTTTGTGATGAAATGGTGTAGCCTAATTATAGTGCTAGAAGTTCCCGTCTATGATATAATAATTATATGATATTTATTTTCCATGAAAAACAATAAATACAATTATAGGCATTCATACTTTCAAATTAAACCTAGAAAATATATGAAGAGATTCACGAAGGCCTAACAAGAATTGTCTTTTTACTTGATTTTTTGGGATTTTCTCTCCTCGTTTCTATTAAATGAAAATATTCGTATTATTTCAATATATTTGTAGTGGGACAAATCAGATTATTTGCCCCAAAATGTCACTGCGTTTAACAAATTTTTCTATCAGGAAACCTAAAAGAAAAATCCAGTTGCTTGTCAGTGACAATTTGTTTGAAAAAAGGTTTAAATGAAAGAAATATAGATATATTGAAAAAATATCGAATCTTTACTTATCTTTGGACGTTTCGGGACCGAATCTGCTCCTGTTCTCAACATGGAAATGCAAAATATTTCTCTTTGGAAGTTGTGCTGCTTATGGTTTGACAGTTTTCAGTGTCATACTGATGTTGGCATATGAATGAGTTATTTTAGTCCCGAAACGTTCAAAGATAAGTAAAGATTCGATAATTTTTCAATATATCTATATTTCTTTTCTCCAAACATTTTTTCAAACAAATTGTCACTGATAAGCTACTGGATTTTTCTTTTAAGCTCCCTGATAGAAAAAATTGTTAGACGCAGTGACATCATCTTATTTGTCCCACTACAAATAGGTATATTGAAATGATACGAATATTTTTATTTTATAGAAACGAGGAGAAAATCCCAAAAAATCAAGTAAAATGAACATATCACCTCCTCGATTAACCTACAGACAGTATTTACGACTAGTATTGGTAGTAATTTCACATAATGTGAATTTTTTGAGGTATTCATTTGTTTTGTGGCACTTTATGAAATTTATCATTCTGAAATTTTCAATTTTATATCTAGTGTGACATGAATGAGTGAAAACTTCTAACTTTGGATCAATTTGCCAGCCAAAGTGCACAAGAATATCATAACTATAATTTTATATTACTTTCCAAAGCCTCCTTATTCCTTTTCTACTATTATCTACGGGAGTCCCATCTAAAATAAGAAAGTAAGAATAATTTCTGGTCAAACTCGGAGTGAAAGAAAACAATTGAATACTTAAAAAAATGCATATTCGCGTACCTCACTTTCATTTGTTTATCTGTAGAAGCAGACAAGTTATCGGGGTGAACCATGTCTGAAAAATACCAAGTATAAATAATGTTAATGATAATCAATATTATGATTCACGTGGGAGAACCGGTTGCAAATTTCGACCGTCATCTGATAACGAAATGTGATACCTATGTTCCAAAGGCATGTTAAACCATTGTATTTTATCGAACGGCAGCTGTGCCAATCACTATCCTGGGCAAAAAAAATGAAAAATCGCACTTTTCTGTGCGATAATTTGCACTTAATTGCGATTTGATAACAAAATAGGAATTATGCCATATCTGATACCAATTTGATGGTAGATCTCAAAAGCTTACTTGATGTGCCACCCCTCAATCTGAGCCAAATCCATGGCAACGCGATTTATTTGATGTCATTATTCCAAACATAATTTTGTCATGTTATAACTAGACGAAACAATAGGCAAATGAGAGAGGATAATGTCCCCTTTGTGAATATCCAAACGTGCCGTTACTAGCCGTCGGATATTATCTTTTGACAGCGAGAAATATTCTCGGAAATATTGACGCTCTGCCAGTGATTTAGACAGTATGAATCGCGGCACGTTTGGATATTCGCAAATTGGACATCATCCTCTTTTATTTGCTTTTTGTCTCAACTCGTCATCACATGTTCGGAATAATGAAGCAAACAAATAGCTGTGCGATGGATTTGGCTAAGATTGAGGGGGTGGCACCAGGGGCCGTATTCTCGACAAGTGAGCTTTTTAACGTATACGTATCCAAACGAATGGATCATGTACCTACGAGTACTATTTCGAAGTGGCATTTTTGACGACCATTCGCTTCGCAATACGTATACGCTTGAAAACGTGCGATCGTGATGCGATCCAGAGCATCCGGCACCGCACTGTATTATTTCACGAAAGTCATGAAATGGTCTGTTGAATCACGTTCTGTGAATATGTGAAAAATTCCGCGCGAAGAATGAAATTTTCTTGATATTTCTTATAATG